TTACCTACAATCTGGAAACACTTTACATTAAAGTTACTTTTTTAATATCAGTTGTATTGTAGACAATAAATATTAAAATTTAATTACACTATATCAAAGACAAATTTAGATTCCTGACACAATACATAAAAGAATATTAAACACACATAAACAAATTGTAGTCTACTTCATAATGATCTTTAAAAACTTAAACGATTACCCAAAAAATCTGCTAACTTTAACTCACTAACAGTTAGTTTGAATAACTATTCTAACTACATGATATTCATTTCTTCTTGGGCGCATTCTTGTAAGATCTTTTGTTATGCTCTTCACCTCCATAATTTCCACATGATACCTTGTACTTCTTTGACTTTATTTCATCATATGTTTTATATCTTTCCTTTTGAGGTCTCCCTGGCTGCCTTTTATCTCCCGTCGGTGGATTTACTACCTCATCCAAAATATGTTGTGGCACATTCCATTTGCTTTCATCAGGAAGAGGATTTACTGGTATTTCATACGTATGCAAAAGGCTTTCCCTTGTGTAATACGGAGAGCAATAGTTTTCATGTGTTTCATTCCTGTGCCTTAATGCTGCCAAAGCATGCACACATGGAAGTTCTTCAAGTTGGAAGTGGCCACAACAACATTTCTTGTTTTCTAAACACACAATGTACCGCTTCACACCATCTAACACATTATGTATATGATTTGTTGAAGCCCTCACCTACAATTGCAGAACAAACAGAAAAAATATTATCTCAATCATAAAAATAGATTATCTACAACTTATCTACAACTTATCTACAAATATTCTACACCTTATCTACAACCTACAATTATCTACAATTTGACTACAATTTATCTAGAATCTAGAAACACTGCATATTAAGTAATTTATTTTTTCTGCACCAAATAAACAGATATTACCATAAGCTCTTAAGATAATGTTCTATTGTTCTCTAATTCTTTGTTGAATTTGGACCCAAGAAATGTGAAAGCACCCTTCGCCTTCAATAACTTCTCGTTGGTCCAACGTTCTAGCAGTGTCCGCATATACTCTAAAAGGTCAAATATCGGCAGCTCTCTTGCATTTTTTGTTATAGCGTTCAACGACTCTGCAATATTTGATGCCATTGTCCACGTTCTATTCACTGTTGCATGTACTCTTGACCATCTATGATAGCCAATATCATATAGGTAAGATTTCACACGCGGGTCTACCTCTTCAATCTTCGACATCCTTTCATTAAATTTATCCAGAGTGTATGACCGTGCTGTAGCAAAGTACAATTCATGTAATTGTAGATGACCCTTCTTGAATTTTGACCTTATATTTGTCCAAATATGCCACATGCAAGAGTAATGTGGCATGCCCGGATAGACAATTGATGTTGCCTTCAGCATACTCTCATTCCTATCTGAAACAACAAACATTGAAGGTCTTTCACCATATGCCTGCTTGAATTGCTCAAATAACCATTTCCAAGATGCGTCGTTTTCAGAATCAACCACAGCATATGCCAAGGGCAATATTGTACCTACATTATTAATTCATAAAATATTAATTGGCAGCTTTGAAAATGTATATAAAAATATAAATACATAACAACTACAATATATCTTCATAATATAGACAATTTATCTACATTTTATGTAATAGCTACAAAATAACTACAAAATTACTACAATTTATCTACATTTTATAGAATGCCTACAAAATAACTACAAAAGTTTTACACTTTTTACCTGCTGCATCCATGGTGCTTGCTGTCAGCATAATCCCCTGTAGGTTGACTTTAAGAATGTCCCATCAACCACTACTACTGGCCTACAATGTTGCCAACCACTTATTGATGTATAAAGAGCAACAAATGCGTATAAGAAGCATTCATCTGCTGTCTTCTTCAATTTAACAACCGAAACAGGATAAGTCTCCTCAAGAATATAAAAATATTTGGGTAATTTGCTGTAGGAGTCAGTCGGATTCCCTCTCAAAAACTGTAAAGCCTTTCCTTTTCTCTCCATGCTTGCATGTAGCTTAGGTTCACTTCGTGTTCGGATAACATGTCAGTTTGTATGTCTTTTGGTGTGTAAACAGTCTTAGGATCACAATACTTTGAAATGACCATGCTACTAACTACAGCTGCAGTACGTTTTTGTTGTATGAATGTTTCGTCCATTAAGGAGCATGTGTGTTGTCGGTTGAAACTCTTTATCTTGAACATTGCGGAATCATTAATTGACATTGCCTTGAAGTGCCATTTACAGTTTTCACCAACGCATACAAGCCAGTAGCTACAAAAAAAATACAATATTTAATACAGATTATAAATATAGATGATGTCACACCTTCTTTTTATCTACACCCCGTAAGGAAGTATATAAGGGAGTTTTTTTCCAATTTAAGTGACAATCGAAACGGGATTATTTATTTATCAAATTCAGAGTCGCCACTTGGGATAATTTTATGGTGTCCCAAGTCACCGGTTCAAATCCCAAATCGAGGAAAAAAGATCGACTCTGTTTTACAGTCCGCGAACACAGAAATTCGGGTAAATAATTCTATTAACCCGGGAGAAGGTGTTAGGCATTCCCGAGTTCCGTGGTTCTAGCGCGGTCGCTAAACTGTTATAATTGGCCTATTATCTGATTTTAATACATGTTTTAATCTATGGTTCAATTTTAAACTTTATAGTCGCTTTTATTCATTTTTAGGAAGATTGCAACGTCATTTAAAATATGCCTTGAACCACGTCACATAAATGCACCCGTAGTCCGCAACACATTTTATATAACATTGTTGAGATTTGGATTTGGGTCACATAAATGCGCACCCGAGTTTAGGAAGGTAAATTACTAAAGTAATGCGCCTAAAGCAACTACACATTTGCAACTTTGCGAGGGCCACGAAAAATTCGATAAATGGCATGCCTCGATTTCTAAGGATTCGACTTAACTATCCTAGGGCCACGGATTATCTATTTTTGTTTATGGCACACCTCGAATCCGATAATGAAAAGGGCTAATTAATTAGGTAAAAGATTAAGAGAACTCGCGTCTTTTGCTTTAAAGATAGTGTTCGCCGAGCTTAATACTAAAGGGCTGATGTTAGCTTGAAACTAAAAAATTGGTTATTTGGGGACCCTAAACAGGCCAAGCCTAGTTGGTCAAACAATTGTGTGAAAAGGGCTCAAGAACACGCCCAGGAGGACGGCAGAAGAACAGGCCCACAGGCCCAGTTTGACATGTTGTTGCTGGGAGCCCAGTTAACCAAAATTGAAGCAAACAATAGCATATCGGCTTCAGCTATAGACATTCAAGGCCAATTATAATTTTAATCTAAGGCTGCAATTGAACAAAACACAAACTGAGTTTAAAACCGTTTATCAAAGGTACCAAGAATTCCTGCGAACGGAATACTATGAGAATGCCTAACGAAAGTATGCAGATTCCACAATCAATTTCAAACTAGTTTTTAAAAAGAACAAATTCGCAGGTGAAAAGAAACAACCCCAGTGACTGCACATCTAACCGTTTGCACAACTTTCACAAAACAAATTGATTCAGAACATTGACAGGTTCAAGATTGGCCAAGCCTACTAACAAGCTCAAAGAAATGTACAAGACATATATGGCTACAAACCAAAGCCCTTGTTTACTCGAATTGAGCCTCTACAGTCAAAACATCTGGTGATATAACCCCTTAAATATTTGAACTAGGATTCACATTAGGTCATTCTTGTCTGTCTATCAAATCTTACCCTAAGCATCAGTAACATGACAGAGGCTCATAGGAACATTCATTGCTAGCTCCCAAAATAGTCCAAACTCAACCTAATAGAAGACATGCTATTCATCTGAATTAGCCCCTATTGCAAGGACTCAATTAATCTCCATAAGAACAAAATTCCAAAATTATTTAATATGCCAACAAACTAACTAGAATGTCTGTCCAGATTTACAAATCAGATTTCAAACCAATCACGGCTGGATAAATGAACATATTCTAAGAAACTAAGATAACATAAAACTACAAATATGAAGTATCGTTAATCGAACACTAATGGTCGAATTGTATCTCAGTTACAAAGCTTCACATCATGCACTTAATGAGCTAAAGAGATCTAAGAAATACCTGGAAAGCAAGAAAGTAAGGACAATGAAAAGTCAGCAACAACACAGCAGTACCAACAACAATGTAACAGTGCTTGACCAGCTGAAACTAACCCAGACTTCAAGCCAACTCCAAACAATTCGAATCAGACTTCTAAACTTAGACTCAATCCATTTTGCCACTCAGATGCACAACTATGGAACTTATCAGCAATTTTAACTAAGCAATCAAGATCATAAACCAAAACCAACAACAATTTAATATCTTTCCATAGAACAATGCCAGGAATTCAGGGTACAGCCGTTTTTGTTTTTCAGGGGTCTTTTGCCTCTAAAAATCTCTCTCTTGAATTCCAAGCAAAGGTGCCTTTATAGGCAAGACATTAGGGCAGCTTAAAGAAGTCAAATTTGCAATTAGACCCTTTTTATGTTTTTATTTTTGCCTAGATATCCCTATTTAGTTTTCAAAGATTCAAAAAAATCCCCAAGTCAGCTTCTAAGAAACTTCCTAATCAGTTATACAAAGATTCCCCTAAGAAAATACCCAAAACTACCCCCCATACCCCTGTTATTTACACTCAGCAACTCATAGGTCAAGCTGACCCAAATGCCTGATTTGATACGGGTTAATAACCCAGGTTCAGTTCTTTCTTGGGCTTCTGATTCCTCAGAGTCCAATTAAAATCAAACGATGACTCCAATTTTGAGAAACTGACCCAAACTTTCCCTAAACAAAGAAGCCTGGAACTATTTGTTTAAAAATAGCCGAAACCAAAAGCAAACTGAATGAACTAACTAGTACAATTTCATAACAACTAATTAATTAAATCGTAGGCCTAATTTCATTGACTAAGTGATTAAACTGATGATGAAACCATAATTATACTATTATTACAAAGACTTAGACAAACAAGACAAGGCGGACTAAAGAAATAAGATAATCAAGCTTCACAACGACAAAGAGGAAAACAGAATTTGAACTCGGAAAATACCTCAAACAAACTTCGACCAAGCCAAAAGAGAAGGGATGAGGAGGAAGATGAAACAGTGAAAGAAGATAAAATACAAAGAGGAGGCACTTACCGAATCAAAGCTCGAAACCTAATTGATACTGATTTAAACAAAAAGTGATGTTACCCAGTTGTTCTTCGTAAAAAAACAAGTGAACAACATCACTTTTGTGTTTAATCAACCTTCGACCTTCAGAAAAACAAGGGCAAGTAGCCATGCAAGCCACAGAATCAAAGATTGAACCATTTTGACTTCTTGGGGCTTCGAGCTCTATCCTTAGATTCAAGATTCGACGGATTTGGGAGGGATTCGAGGGATATGGGTTAGGGATTTAGAAAAAAGGGGTCATGGGGGTTTCAGGGTGTTAGTTTGGTGGTGGCTCGGGGTGGCGCCGCCAGGCAGACGCGGTGGGAAAAGGGGCGGCTCTAGGGTTTGAGTTCGGCTCTCTGAAGATAGGGTGAGAAAGATGAGATGAAAGGGGGGGGAGGAAGGCGTTTGGACAATAATATACTTACGAATCCCCACTTCTCAGCCATTTGATCTCATAACCTCGACGGCTGAGATCAAAACTAACCTAAACGGGGTCGTTTGGGTTGGGATGGGCTGGACCGGGTAAGAATTGTGTTTGGGCTGGGTTTACACGGGTTCTGGTGGGAAATCTCTTGGGCTGGGGGGAAACTTATAACACTTGGCCCAGAACTGAATTCTTTCTTTTCCATTCTTATTTCTATTTTAATTCCTTTTCTCTTTTTTTTGAAATTAAACTAAAATTTAAAGTTAAATCCTAAAACCAAATTAACCTATCAAATTACTAATTAAACCTAGATAATAATTATCACAATTAATTAAAAACTAAGCTTAAAGGAATAATACCAAAATCAAAAGCTAAAGTTAAAAATGTGCAAAATAAACTATTTTTGTGATTGATTTTTTTTCATTTTTATAAAATAACTAATTTACCACCTAATGTAAAATTAAATCATTCATGCAAATGCAACATATTTTTGTATTTTTCATTAATTAAACAAAAATAAAAAATGCACAAACAAATGCAAACAATTATCAGAAAATGCCACAAAATCCACAAAAGTGCAAATAATGAAAAGAAATTATGGGTAATTCATATAGGGCAAAAATCACGTGCTCACAACTGCCCCTCTTTGCCCAGAAACACGAAGAGTTTTCGTGCAAAGATAAAGTGAGCGAATACGAGCGATTTTTGCCCGTTTGAATAATCCGTGGGAAGCATTTTTGAAAGAGTTGACCGCACCCTGCTTCTGAGGTTGCCTACATATCCTTGGCTAAAAAGGAATCAGGTCAGTGTAGTTCAGGAATGTTTGATAGCTGGGACTACAATGAAGCTGTGGTTT